TCAATTGGTCGACTAAAAAGCTACTTTCAAAACTATAATTTGACTACATTTATTTTTGTATAGCCTGAAATCACAACAGCAGTTGTCTCTGTGGACTTTGCAAAGTTGTCAATTCACCAACAATAGGTCGGAGAATCAATCAAATACAATAATAACACCATTGGTCTATGGGAGAGGGATGACCAATGTCCATAAATGACAATATGGACATTGGTCATCACTGTCCCTCCTGCATTGGCATGGACCAACTCAAAAAAAGGCCAGCGGAAAAAAAGTGAGAAACCTACATTGAGAGAGGGACCCGCTCCCACGTACGGCTAAATGTGTCTGTCTGACCCACTTTAACGCAGTACAAAACAAATACAAATAAGATTAATACAAATGCCTTAAAACCAAAATAAGTTCCAAATATGTTGCTAAATTAGCCCACATCTTCTCATCATTGATTTCCCATATACCCCACATTATAATGTATTTAGCATTTTCACTAAACTAGTCGTGATCCATATTTTCTAAGATGTGCTTGAAAGTTGACACACACAAGTATGCATTTTTTCCAGTAATATAAAATGTGTAGTATAATATTATTTCAGACATGAATGACACAAACACTTTCTTCACTCATTGTTTGTGACCGAGTGACATCATTTATGGTTAAAACCAGGACAAATCTTGGAATTAACCAGGATTGGTTTAGCCCTGGTTAAGTCCTGGTCCAGTCCTGGTTCAGTCTTGTTTAATAAAAATAAAAAAATTCTCACCTTTCGCCCTCCGCGGGCGGTTATCCCTCTCTAAGCCTGGGTCCTCTACCAGAGGCCTGGGAGCTTGAGGGTTCTGCGCAGTATCTTTGCTGTTCCTAGCACTGCACATTTCTGGACCGAGATGTCCGAGGTTGTTCCAGGGATCCGCTGTAACCACTCCTCTAGCTTCGGGGTCACTGCCCCGAGTGCACCGATCACCACGGGCACTACTGTCACTAGGTCAACTGTGACTGTGGGTTTCGAAGTAACCATTCAGCCCACATTCTCTGCATGTAACCTCTTTGGCCAGGGTTACTCGAGTAGTAGCATTCCAACAGAGTCCTGTTATCGGATCTCGCCCATTTTCGCCTTGTTCCAGCGGCCCACTTTTCATCAAGGTGCTCTGGTTCCCCAGCACCTGACGCAGACCTTGTTTGGTCGGGCGACGTCTGAGCTGCCATCTCATTGCTTATTTGTACCTTCATGGTTATGAGTTAGGCAGTAGCATAAAGGGTCTTGCCCAAGGACCCACACTGGATGTTGGTGTTAATGTGCTCCCAACATTAACAACATATATATATATATATATATATATATATATATATATATATATATATATATATATATATATATATATATATAAAATATTATATATATATATATATATATATATATATATATATATATATATATAAAATATATATATATATATATATATATATATATATATATAAAAATTGGTTATCTCTTTAATATTTTTAAAGAACATGGTCGTCAACTTGTTTTCCATTGACTGATTAATTTAATATACCATAAGACCAGCCCTAATTCTTGGTGCTAGAAAATACCTATTTCACCAATCACCTATCCCCGCCCATTTCTAAAAAAATATTCAACCTGGAGTTGTTTGAATTATCCTTGTGATGATTCAAAAAACAAGAAAAATACATGTTGACAAGAAAATGATTAAACCTGGAGTTTTTTTTAAATATAACAAGGATAATTCAACAAACCCCAGTTGAATGATTTTCTTTAAAAAGGAAACCACTGTTTTTCAACACAGGAAATGAATAACATATTCTTCTTCAATTTTGATCTAATACATCTTTAAAAGAATGAATTTGCTGACCATATAAAAAATTGCTGTATTGATTTGTGCCTAAACATTGCTGTAAATTTCACAACCAAGTGCTGACATAGCAGCAGATCCTGCAGAGACTCGGGCTGTAATTAACAACTACTTTGATAATCGATTACTGTAGATGAGTGAAAGAAAAAAATGGCGTAAACCCACTCAAAGATTTTACTGTTTTTTTTTTTTTAAAGACCACAACAATGTAAGACAAATATCTGAACAGTGACTCAAAGTATTCTTAGTTACATTTGAAGTCATTTTTATATTTAAAAAATTTATGCATATAAAATAAGACAAGCTTCCAGTTTACAGTGGGATGTATAAACAACATTTCCTTCGAAGGTTTAGTTCCATGTCAGGTCTAAACATGGGGAGGCAGTGTTTCAAATTTATGCAGCCAAAATCTGGAATAGTCTTCCTGAAAATATATATGTTTTATAGCTGTTCATACAACTGAAGGATTGTATAATGTACTGTGATTATTTGAATTAATGTGATTTCAATGTTTCTTTTCTTTGTTAAGCACTTTGAGTTGCCTTGAGTATGGACTGTGCAATACAAATAAACTTGCCTTGCCTTAAGATTTAAAAAGGTGTGAAAATTTTTATTAGAAAGAAATAAGGAAAATTCTGGTCACTCTCTGTTCGATGTACCGTATGATGTTTGTAAAAAAGTCTTGTTGTATTTTTTATAACAATGTAAATCTATGCTGTATAATGAAATGTAAAAATGTTTTTTTATGTAATGGATTAGAAAGAAACGAGAGATTTGTAATGGACCAGAGAAAGAATCGCAGCAGCTGGGGATTCAAATAAAATAAATGAATAAAAAATATATTACACATGTAACGTTCCAAACACTGGTCACATGTAAAACTCGTGTGCAGTGTTTTATGAAAGGTCTGGATCATGTTTGCGTGTCAACAGCGGCCGCACACACACTAATTGTATATTTATGGCCCTTCTGCTGATGTGCCCATGGGCCTCACGTCTTCTGTTCATCTGTGGTCTGACACGCAACCAGACGCTCAGCACACAACCCCACAATACACACACACACGCACACACACACTTTGTAAACACTTTTTCCACTCATCGTTTATGGCTGTGTGAAGACATTTATTGTTAAAATCAGGATATAACTATGATTCAACCAGGATTGAACCAGGACTACAACAGGGACACGTTGAAGTACTCTTGGTTTTGTCCTGCTTCAGCCCCGCTTTAGTCCTGGTATAGACCTGCTTTTGTCTTGGTTCAGTCCTGGGTCAGCCCTGCTTTAGTGCTGGTTTAGGCTTGCTTTAGTCCTGATTTTCACCTGTTTAGTCTTGGTTTAGTCCTGGTTTACTTTAGACCTGCTTTAGTAATGCTTTCGTCCTGGTTCAGTCGTGATTCAGTCCCACTTCAATCCTGCTTTAGACCGCTTCAGTCCCGCTTTAGTCCTGGTTTAGTCTTGGTTCAGTCCTGGTTCAGTCCCGCTTTAGTCCTGGGTCAGTCCTGCTTTAGTCTTGGTTCAGTCCTGGTTCAGCCCTGCTGTAGTCCTGGTTCAGTCCTGGTTCAGTCCTGCTTTAGTCCTGGTTCAGCGCTGCTGTAGTCCTGGTTCAGTCCTGGTTCAGTCCTGCTTTAGTCCTGGTTCAGTCCCTAACCGAGGCACAGTCCTGGACTTACACATAATACTTAAGGTTACATCTGTCCCAAGGCTGAAATATCAATAAGTCATTGTTTTTGACATGTAGTAAATAATGTACACATCATTTCATCAAGGTTATAAACATTTGGCACGAGGAGACGCACAGGGGACGAATTTATCGATCACATACAATATCGAGAGTATCGTTTTAATACTAAAATATCAACGTGTAATCTTTCAAATACAAATATAGATCAGTTTTACAGCTCACAGATGAGGAATAACCACAGCATAAAATGGGAATGCATAAAGAAGGCAGAACAATAAATCTCACTTTTCATCTTAAAATATAAATTAAACAAAATGTATTCAGCCCAGCTTCACTCCTGCTTTAGACCTGGTCAAGATCTACTTCAGTCCTAGTTCAGTCCTGCTTCAGTCCTCCTTTATGCGACGTCAGTGGAAACGTGGTCACATTAAAGGCCCAGGCCGTAGACTGTGTTATAGGTGTATCTGGCCGCTCAGAGGAGTAATCGTGGCAACAGGCTTATATCACTGCGCTGCCGAACGGAACATTTTAAGAGATCCTTTGTTCCTTCGGCTGTCAGACTGTACAACAGACCTGTCTGAGTCTTCTGCTCCTGGACAACTGAATTTCTCCAACGGGGATCAATTAAGTATCTATCAATCTATCTATATATTTGTTTTATTTTTTTCCCCAGCAACAAGGGCTGCACAACACTTCTGAATCGTTCGTGTATCACAGATTCAAAAAGGCAAATTGTGAAGAAAGTGAAGCCATGGCCGTGTCGCAGTGACCACAAGGGACTGGAACGACTCCTCAAATATATTAATCTTCCAACTTTCTGTCTATTTCACAAGATATGGTCTTGTGACAAGGCATGAGCGGGCGGCAGTGGGAGCACAAACACCAGGGAGGCTGTCTTGTGCAAAAATACAAAAAATAAAGTTCAGTTGCAAAGATGTGCACTTGCCAACCAGTGTAGCTTATCCAGCAGCCCGACCCAGAGTGAGTGTATCAGGCTCCTTAAATACGCTCCCTCTAAACTGGATAAAACCATAAAAGCAAAGCAGGTGAAATATTGTAACTTTAGCCAATAAAACTCCTAACTATAATATAAAAGAAATAGAAAACCCCCTAATATACAATCACAACAAAAACCACCCAACTAAATAAGCTAAAATCTAAAACCTGTTTAAAAACCTATAGCCACCCCCCAGCTCATTCTTCCCATTGGTCCAGCCCGGAACGCATTTTTAGTGCGTTCCGGGCTGGACTCTTTACGCCAGACACCGCCACCCTGGACACAAGAGGACAAGGAAAATAAACTGGGCTCTCATACAAACATTCACACAGTCAGACACCCGATCATTCACCGCACGCAACACCTAAAACGAACTCTAAAACAACATATATCATTGCACTATGCCCAATTGTAATTTATGTTGCCTACCCAGGTCCGGGCGCCACTAACCGGAACGCCCCCCCCCCCCCACATCGGACCTACGGACAACAACAAACAAGTTTTTCAATAAATACTCTAAAATGACAATGGTGTGTGCAATGTTTTTAAAGATATGCAAATTAGCTATGTTGAAAATTGCAGTGTGCATAAAAGTGCTGGTGAAACAGTAAAATGCATGCGTGTGTTGAAACGAACAACCGGTTTGTTAGAGGCCTCTTAAAGTAGACTGTTGGATCGGCTCTGAATATTTGATGTGTTAATGGTGCATATGCTTTGTTCAATCCCACACAACTTCAGACGTGAACCCTGGAAGTGATGCTGTGCAATTGGCCGGAGCGAGAGCCCAAACTCACTGAACATTAGATCCAGGTGAAAATGAGAGTAGGGTCAAATATTTTCCTGAAAACAGTACATTTCTGAAACGTGAGGCTTAATAATACATTGAGTTCCCATATTGTAAAAAGGTTCAAACAAAAACATAGGTACAGATGCAAATGAGTAGCTATAAACACAACAGAAGTAAACACTGGATACTCTTGATCATAAATAAAAATCCTTTAATGAACAGGGACTAGCCGGAGGACAAACAACTAACAACATTTAGGGAGATGTTTCTACTAATTAAAAATGTAATGTGTACCAAAACAATTGCTTTATATCTCTATACAGGAGTAATACAGGACTTTGTGGACTGGTGTCAACGGAATCACCTCCTCATCAACGCGGGGAAGACCAAGGAGATGGTGGTGGATTTCCGCAGACGTCACTCTGCCGCTCCAGCCCCAGTGAACAGAGCAGAGTCAAAGCAGCACCCAGTACACTTAGCACCAGCCCCTCACTGATCCTCCTGCAGGTGGTGAGTCCTCAGGAGCCTTGATCTTTCAGCTGGGGCTTCAGGCAAAGTGGGGTTAAGTGTCCTGCCCAAGGACACTTAACCCGTGAAGTAGGTCTTGTGGTGGGCTCAAACCCACGACCTTCAGGCTCAAAGACCAATGCTCTACCAACTGAGCTATTGCAAATGTTATACTGCTGCTAATGTACAGATGCTAACATATAACTACACTTTACTTGCACTAGATTACACAGTACTTCATACTTGCCTCTTATTTTGCCAAATGTTAAATTCTTACATCTATTATTATTTTCAAGATAGAGATTTTATACTTATTAATGATGCTAGAGTTAGAGATTTTGTTTTATTCTAATTAGTATAGCTATTGTTCACTTAACGTGTGCCATGTGCTCCTCTTCCTACTGTTCTATAACTTGTGATGCAACACCGAAATTTCCCCGCTGTGGGACAAATAAAGGATTTCTTAATCTTAATTTATTTCACAGCCAATCCTTGCCTGATTGCGCCTCAGGCGAGAAGAGGACTGGCATAACACTAGGTGAAAGTCAGGGGAGGATTGAAATAAAACTAGAAAACATTTCAATTGTAACCTTCTCGAATACAAGCACCTGCATTCACAAGTTCCTGATTAGACACAATGAATTCAGACCCTTGATAGACAGCTAAGCCCTTCGCAGTTGGTCTAAGTATTCTCTTCCAGCAAATAAAATGTTTGAGAATAGGCAAAATATTGTCGGAATATTTTACTAATTCCCATCATTTTTACCAACAGATATTTCTGCATCTTCCGCTCCGATTCCCCCGTCAAAGATTGTGAGAGGATTTGGCTCCACTGACAATGGTAAAGTTTTGGTCACAATAATAATCATAACTTCATCACAGAGCTGGAGAAAGGCCTCATAGCTCCTGGTGTATCCCTGGGTTTTAGTTCATTTATATTAACATTAAGATAACATCGCCATGGAAACGTCGGTCGTCCTTTGCATTATTGATAGCGGCTGAATCGTGCGGCCGTTTCAGAAATGACCTCAGGAAATGCAGTTTTTCGAAGGCAGAAGATTTGAATAGATTTTGTTTTTTTCAAGGTCAGAAATGTTAAGTTTGCTATTGGAGGATAGAACCTGAAGACTGAATCGTGTTTGGTATGGGACAATATTGTCAAACCAATAAGTTTTAAACAAATATAGTTTTGTGTTGTTTTTATCAATTCAAGGAAAATATCAAATACGTTGAGACCAAAGCTTCCCAATTGGTCAATATTGATTGAAATCCTTGATAATGACATGTCGTTATTGGTCGTATTTATGTGAACAGGAGGGACTGTTAAAAATGTGTTATTGTTGAAAAATGCACCAACAACAGATCTGACAAACAGATCGATCACAGGAAATACAATCATAACAAAGACATGCTGTCCATAAATGTCAATACATGTCCATAAAAGTTATTCGGTTTGTTCTATACCGTTGATTGTGATAATGTTTTTGATGTATAAGTTTCAATAAGACTTAATACAACTGGATTCTGCTATTTATACTCTTTGTGCATGCTTTCAACTGAAACAGACGAGAAAAACGAGAACTGTTTGATTAAGGTTAGGGATACTAGGGTTCTCTGAATTGTTGATGATGAATTAACAACTATGTAAAGTTCTCCACTGTTGTGATTTAGAGCCGCAAAAAAAAAGAATGTCATGGAATTCCTAAACACTGCAGTTCCAGCATCTTATTTTTTTTCTATATTGCACTACATATTGTTATCACAGTCTTGAACTATTGCCTATTGCACTGCCCATTATATTGCAGCTCTATAACATTAACCAGATTTCTTAGTCACCAAATATGTGGACAAGGAAAAAACTCACAAGGCTTCAACGCTACAACAAAAACTTGTGCATACAGTATGCTTAGAAATGCCAAGAAAACAATGGAGCTGTTTCAGAAAACGATGACTCAACTTGTAAAGTGATTTATGTGCCTAAAACACAAGAATAAACCTCAAATAAATGGCTAAACAGATATAATTTAGAAATCCTCCTGTATTAAGAATGGAGTCACTGTTTAAAGGATATGAAATCCCACTTTTGCGTTCCAGAAAGTTAACTAGAATCTAAACAAAACGCAAACATAGAATTTATGTGGTATTTAACCACTCAAATCTACTGTTTGTGGCAATTATCTCTGCTGTAAAACGCCACAGTTGATTTTGTAAGTGAAGCACCTCCATCATCTCCCTGGTATTTCCCATTCAAAAATAGGAAATACCAGTTTGAGCAGTGTCCAGGGCTTGTTTCCAAGTGGGAGGTGAGAAAGATTGGCCGATTCATTAACTAATCAACTATAATAGCCAAGAGACTGCCTTGGAATTAGCATTCTTCATCCTGGTTCAGTTTGCGTTTGGCCGTGGCTCCGATCTTAGTTTTCGAAATCTTCTGTTCCATATTTCATTTTGAAGATTTTTTTCACCTATCTACAAGCTATGGTATTTTGTGTGGAAATGTGAATCGCTATGACAACACTCCTTATTTTTTACTAGTCCAGGAACGACGAGTTTACATGGGTCTCAATTTCTGTAACTCCTCTCCGGTCTCCACTCCAGGTCCCTCTCCCGCCTCCAACTGGTTCAAAATGCAGCAGCCAGACTGATTTTAACAGAGGGAGCACATAAGGGAGCACATTACCCCTGTTTAAGCATCCCTCAACTGGCTCCCTGAGTGTGTTTTTAATCTCCTACAAACCCCCGCAACCTTAAATCCTTGGGCAGGTCCCTATTGGCCGTTCCAAGGTCAAAACACTGAACAAAGGGTGAGCGAGCCTTCTCGGTTAGGGGTCCTCGACTTTGGAACGACCTGCCAGAGCAGATAAGGTTAGCAACATCAGTAACCCCCTTTTAATCACTTTTTAAAACCAACCTTTATCCAACGGCCTTTAACTGTCTGCTGTAAACTTTACTTCTTATAATTAATATTTAATTCTTTTTGTCTTTCTTGTTGTGTGCCTTCTGTCTGCTTTATTTTCCTTTTTTATTATTTTGATAGAATACATTATAACTATTGACTTATATTGATGGTATTGTTTTACGCTGACGGTGCAGCACTATGTACACATTGCTTTGAAAGCGCTATACAAATAAAGTATTATTTTATATATTGTTTAGCTACTCTTTCTTTCTAGCAGTTTTTATTGTGCATTGTACAATTGTCTTATCTATAATACTTCATCAATTTATTATCATCACATTAAAGCTGGGGTACGTAACTATCAAATCACCCTTTCACGGAACTATGTATAAAAATCAATCTACCTCATTCTCCCTCATTCTTAAAACCGTTTGGTTTTATCACTCGTTTTCACATGAATGTATTTTTGTCCCATCTTTAGTACGATCCTAACTCAGCCAATCAGCTCTCAGCACAAAGCGTCAAATAGTGACTCACACGGTTCTTTTTTATGGACCGGTATGCAAAAGATAACATGTTTAGATGATGTTTACAACAACAACAATTACAAGACTGTTTCTGTTGGGACAAAGAAGATGTTATATTTATGCAGGAGAAAAGTTACCTACTCTAGCTTTACACCTAATATGAGCTCTGCATCCCAAACATTTCATATGCCATAAGAGAAACTACATTCCATACCCAAGCTGACAACAAGAATCGATCATGCATTGGCCATAGAAAGCCCAGGTTCAAGCTACAAATTTCTCTATGAACTTACACAAAAACATAAGTATTCCTTGTCAGCACGAATAGGACATTGAAAACATTATCATCATTTCAGCTTATAGGAAATCACCCAACCAGCCGTGCGTGTGTTATGTGCAGTGCTATGACCTTAAACTGACACAGATGCCATCACACACACACACACACACACATACACGCACAAACGCACACGCACGCTCGCACGCGCAGCTCCCTCACCTTCACCGCTCAGCATCATCATCATCATCTTCTTCTTCACATAGCGACACAAAACAAACCATCTGCGACCACTTCTTCATTCACACGCGGGGGCGGGCTTTTTGGCATGAGTCGTAATTGCACCCAAAACGAGGCTAATTTCGCACGTAAAAAGCAAAAAAAGAAAATGACATATATAAATAAATAAAAGAGCGAAGGAACACGCACGGCACGCACACACACATAGATATACACTGTCGACTACAGAGAAGCATCAGAATTCCACTAGCATCACCCGAACCTATACATTTGCGATGTTATGCTAATTTGGCTAACATTTGAAAGCGGTTGCCAATAACAACAACAGCGGGCAGAACTGACACTATGTCCGGGTTAATAAATGCTCTTTACGTGTTTTGTTCTCACTCACTAGCAAAAAAAAAAAACGATGACAGACGCAAAAAAGCATATATCATAACTAAATAAATAATAAATAAATAACATTAACGAGTCTATTTTTTGCCGCGCGATCGCCAAACCAAATAAGACGCTAATTCAGCACCTCCATCCACCCGCGCGCTTCGGGATGACTGCTTTTTTCCCTGCACAAATAGTGAAAAACACAAATCCACGCGTGATTTTTACCCTACATCTGCCCCTCGTCGGTTCGCCACACACCGCATCAACCACGAGACGCGACCACAGCGAACATAACGCAGTATTATAGCTGTGTCTTACCTTCCGGCTTGTTTTCGGCAGCCATTTCCCCACATCCCTCCTCCTCCACTCCTCTGCCTCCGCCTCCTCTTGGTGATGGTGCTGATGGGAGCCCGGGAGGGGACATGGAGAGGACAGCTCAAGGAGGAGGTGGGATGTGCAGGACGTATTGGAGAAGGGGGTTTGGGGGGCGAGCCTGCTGCGTCAGGGGTGCCCATTGGTGCGCTTGTGGTGATTGACATGCTGCTGCAGGGTTTTTTAAATAATAATAAAGAGTGTTCGGAATGGTTAATGGGGAGAGAGTGACATGCAGAGGTGAGGATGGGAGAATAGTGGACATATTTTCTGATGTAAGACGTTGAAGGGAAGAACTAAAGGTTTTACATTTCTGTTTCTGTTTTATAATAATATGGTTAGTAGTGTGCCTGTTTAATTCAATCACATTCATTCTTGTATAGCCCTAGATCACAACTAGCTATCTCAGAGGACTTCACAAAAGCGCTGAGATCGCCATCACATATCAGAGAATCAAATAGTTCAAACACAAAAAAAGAGAACACATACAGTAGGTATTCGTCCATCAGGGGGAGATGACCAATATCCATAAGTGTTGATACATGTCCATAAATGTTGTTGAATCTTGAGTGGCCTGGATCATCACCACAGTCCTTTTTGTTAGACCCTGTTTAAAAACATGTGTAACAAAATCTATGTCTATCACATGTTTTTACATGCAGTAATACGTTGCAAGAGAAACAATATTTCCTTGCACAAGAAATGTAACCCAACCAACTAAATGTAGTTGTAGTCTAGACAGCAACAAAACCAAACTTTTGTAACACATTGCGTCAGGTGAAGAAGGATATAAAACTACAGACACGTCACAAGACGGACAGCGTACCAAACTGTGTGACAAGAGTGAAGCTCTTACCGTCAGAGTTTGAGATTTTGCACTCACTGCTCTTCCGTTTATGAAGTTGCGCCACGTGGATGATAAACTCGCTGTAGTTCGTTATATTTGGATCCTCTCTGGTCCTGGGTGCACTGCGCTGTGACTTTAGAAGACTTATTGTGTAAGTCAGGAGTTTGTTTTGACCCTTTTTTTTTACACGCTCATGTCTTCCCAGTGGTGGAAATCAAACAAGGGTCCAAAGAACACGCTGACCTTTCCCACTATTGTTCTGGGTCAAAAAACTTCTATAATCTTTTGCTGTAGAGGCTGAACTGACGGACGGCGTATACTCTGAGGGTCAGGATCTCACATGGTCCCACAAGACTTAGAAAGTGCTTCATATCACTGCTGCTGTTCCACTGACCTCGGACTACTCTGACTGTGAGAGCGGAACAAATCCACAATGTTTTCCCGCACACTGCAGTGGTCCGGAGGTTTTCAGGTCATTAAACAAGTGTTCTCTCATGAACCCACGTGAACCTGGTCAAATACAGCACCAACCCACTCACAATGTGCTGCACCAGCCTCGTGTCTATGCCGGACAGCATGGAGGGGTTCAGGGGAGGATTTCAACATTACTTCAAATAAAAGACTCTTTTGAGGTTCATTCTGCTAACTTGCTTTTTTTCACAAATTACATATCATTTGTCCAAAAGTCTTATACGAGTACAATTTTGTGAAGAAATCAGACAATATCATGCTTATTAGTTTTTACTTAAAACATTAATAATGCATTGGTTTTATAAAGCTCAAAGACAGTTCACAATATTCTTCCTGCACTCCATATAAACTACTACTGTAGCTGTAGTAGAATGGGCAGACTGTCAGTGAGAACCAGTATGTGCTATGTGTCCCTCTGACCACCACCAACCTTCACTCACACGTCAGACACATGCAAGGCAATGTGGGACAACTATCTTGACTTTTTTTTTTACTTTTTAGCCGCAGCCGCCCCACAGGCAGGTGGCACCAGGTGTAGTAACTATCCCTGTGAGTCACTATTTGACTTTGGGTGTGGATGGTTCTCTCTTTTTCACAAACTGTATATGTAAATGTAAAATTGATGATCTATGAACAATTTTGAGAGCAAGAAGTCAGATAAATTGTATTAGTTCCATTGTTTTGGTTTTGAAAGGTAGGTACTATGGCTTTTTGAGTGTATGTGTGAGTGGGTGATTGGTTCCGTGATGTGACAAGGTAGAAAAACGCTCTGTAAATGTGACAATTAACCATTGTAGCATGTTTCAAAAAATAAAAATAAAAAATCTGAATAAACTACACTTCCCCACAACATACAGTAGTTTATGTGATTTCCTTTGCTCTTGTGGTATATTGTGTGGTATATCTTTGAAACATTCTACTGTCTCATGGTTTTGTTAGTGAATGTTAGATCAATGTATTTCCTGCTGTGCATTTGAAGCAGCAAAACATCTGATCAAAATGAAATCCTCGGTATAAGTTTGGTATCTTTTATTCCATATTCCTGGTTCAATCTTTCCTGCATACTCAATAGGCTATTTAAGGATTAGTTATTTGTAATGTTGCAGTGTTATTGTTCTGTTTCAGCCCCTTTACTTGTCCGTTCATTTCTCTTGAGACCTTGGCTCCTTCTGATCTCTCATTGTGCGCCTTTCCTCGACTTACCCCTTAACTCTGTGTCTGCGTACGTCACTTCTCTCTGTTCGCATTGAGGACACCTTCAGTTTCACAGAGCTGTAAAAGGTATAGAGAGAGCATCGCCATGGTAACTACAGCATATATCCAGGTCCACCTCCATGTTGAGGGGTAGAATATGCAGGAGAACTCACACAAAAACTGCAATTTAACATTGAAATTAGTTTTAATCAAGTGGGGGGTTTTTAACACCCAAGAGGTAAAGTGATCATTGGAGTTTGTTTGTTTGTCTGTAAGCAATGTAACTTAAAAAACCTAAATTCTGTTAAAAACAAAAAAAATCTTCTACGGCAAACTGACTCAAACATCTTTATCTGAAACTGTGGCTGAAATCATAGCCAAGTTGTTTATACGTTTTATTGTACATTTGGTGAATTGTATATTGTGTATTAAAAAACTAAACTAAAATAAAACTACTAAAAATATCCATATCAAAAAAATGAATAAATAAACTAAATTACTACATTTTCCGGAAACATGCACAATGGCCCAAAGAACAGCTGATTGTCTCAGTGTGGGTGGTCTTCTCTTTTCTGTCTGAAAAAAGCTGATCTGAAGATGCGACAGAGGCCAACAATACATGCATCTGAGGTGAGTAAGTGATCTTTATTTTTCTGGCGCATTTCACAGATTGTAAGGTCACATAAAGCACTTAACATTATTTGGTGTACTCCACACAGTGACGACAGAACCGAGACTCCTGACATTCAAATCTACTGCGCATGTTTTTAATGGTCGGAGAAACCTTTGCAGATACGGGAAGAACATGCAAACTCCATTCAGAAAGATTACTTGATATGTAAGGCGACCTTGAATGTCTCTGAAGTGTCTAGGAAATGAAATGTTTGTAATAATAGTTTCCTTGTCCAGAATATGGTGTCATTCAATCTAGAGTGACTCAAAGAGACAAAAGGAGGTCCTTAGAATAGTATCTTTTGATTGGCAAGTAATTGGTTACTACATAAATGACAGCTTTAATGTCAATGTCTGCTTCATTTTGTTTGGCACATACAAAAAGCAACACCAACTGCAAAAAGTGAATAAAAAACAGCACAGAATACACACACATACGTGTAAAATTGAAAACAGTAGAACACAGTTGGTGTTAAAAGCCACAGACTTTTTAGACTCCTCCAATGAATGTACAGAGGTATAGACTATGCTACAGTAAAGGCCTTAACATTTAAAAATGAACATCAGACTGGAGACACATATGCTAAAATGTCATAAAATGTGGTTATGATTTGATGCTTAGACCCCGGCACTGCAGGACGACCTAGATCCTGGTGGCGGTAGAAGACAAGGGTTGAAAAGTTGGTGTGGCAGACGAGACATGATGGGGAGGAGGAGTGTTGCTGTACGAATGAAAGCTTTCTGCAAAATATGAAAGCTCGATACAGGACACTTAAATATCTGCCGGCCGAGTGTGATTGACTGATCGATGTTGCAGCGCAGCAGCAGCAGGGGGAGGACTGTGAGCAGGGAGCTTGTGCAAACGTAGTTTCTCCAGTCTTCCAGCCTGAACCTCCTGGAAATGTATAAGTTTTCTTCTTTCCATTTCTGAAACATGTGTATATTTAAATGTTGTTCATGTACATGAGGTTGTTTATGTCTCAATGTGGATCTCCCTGAGGTTTCTCACTTTTTTCCCACTGTTTTTTGTTTTTTTGTTTTTCCTTGCCGATACAGGAGGGTCTGTTGGACAGTTAGTGTCTAACCAAAAGGACTGCGGTGATGATCCAGGACACTTTAACATTCTACAACATGTACTGTATGGACATTTATCAACATGTGTTCTTTATTCTTTTTTGTCTTATCTGTTGATTCTCTGATCTGTGTTGGTGATTTCAATGGTTTTGTTAAGTCCTACTTAACTACTGTTGTGATTTAGGGCTATAAAAGAATAGATTGTATTGTATTGTAATTGTTTATGAATGTAAATGTAAATAATATGACAACCTTGTTCTGGAAACGCATCATGGCCGACACTGTTCCCACGCTAGCAGAACCCTCTAGTCTGGATTATCCCTATTTTCATCAGCACAAGCGCGTTCCCGGCAACAGCAGGGCCACGTGCGCGCGCAGCTGGGAAAAAAACAATGAGAAAAAGCGATGCAAGGTCGAAGCTGCCGCTGTAATCATAATAAACCTCAGTACTGTCCAATCTCCACCGGAATTTTAATGAAGCGGAAAGACTGAAGCAGCGATGAAAAATTGAAATGATTCTGTTAACCCTGAAGTTTAGACCATAATAAATATGTTCTGGAATGTGTGGGATTCAGTTTATATTGTTGTCTCAAATATTAATGGTGCGTGAAATTAACAACACAAAATAACAATAAAATAACAGCCTTTAGGAAGATGTTATAATTAGCCCGGGCTTTAATAAGATTTAGTGTTGACTTTATTGGTATATCATTGATGCACTATTTCTGGTTTTAAGATAAGACAAAAAAATACCTTCTTTCTGGTTTTACTGGTTTTATTGTTTTGAAAAGATTTTAAAGATTCCTATTCCTTTCAACACTCTACGCATGTCAGATTTAATTGATAAAGTGTTGTAGGATTAAGTCTATTTAACGAAAACAATATTGTTGTATTTTATTCCCTTAATTTTTGTATCTCAGAATGTATTCTAGTGCATGTAAGGGTGTTCCAGATAGATTTCTAACTGGATGAAGATCAAAGAAACCTGCTGAACTTGCCTGAGCAGCAATATTAAGTTGTTTTTTAATACTCACTAGTATTAAAAAACGACTTTCCTTGGTGCAGTTGGTGGCTTTGTAGGTACAACACAATATTTTGTATATATGCATCCACACCGATACATTTTACCTACCTTATTTTATTCCTTAAGCAACCATTGAAATATAAAATGTATTATAGTTGTCATTTTCAAACTCCTTTATTAGTCCATTTCTGGGTCGAGGGGGTGACAATCAGAGCTGCCACCCAATACTCGAAGCACCAGTTCCTCGCTAATCCTGCAGGTGGTGGGTCCACAGGATGATGGACATACAATATATATATGTATATGAGTCAATCCATATATAATCTATAATAGTTAACTAAACAAAATACTATATAAATAAAAGTAAAACAAAATAAATGGTAATAAGAATAGAATTGTATTATAACCTCATCATAACAGTACATGATTAGATGTGATTTTCACCCATCTTCTACATGTTGTGATTGTATGTGCGCGTGGGCGGTCCTCTGGCTGCAGGGAGCGCGTGGTGCTGAATGGACAGCTCCTTAAACTCGAGCAGGACTCACGTCTCTTACACAGCGGTATAAACAAGAAATGTGAGCTCTATTTTTCATGAACTGTCATGTTACGCCTTTATAACACGTCTTGTCTGTTTAAGTTAAATACTATCGTTTTACACAATGATGGAAGAGACGGATTCACGTTTTCGGGCAAACTCTTTTTTATTTTATGTATATATTCCAAAAACAGATTGATTTAGATATGTTTAATGACCATTTTACATGATTTATATGTATTCAATGTATATTCATTTGATTGAATGTATTATTCAGTATTATTAGTTAGTTAGTATTTTCCACAAATACCAGCAGAGGGCAGTAAATCCTCTTTCGCACGGCCAAAATTATTATTAATTATTGTTTTGATCAATTACGTGCAAAATTCTATGTTCGTAACTGTATTTAAAGTGAACAGGAATCTGAAATTACATTTTATCACAAAAATATTTAATGTGGCTGTCGGATAAAAATAAAGAAATTACAAAACTCCTCTTCCGCATTCCGCATGATAGCCACTCGCCTCAGCCAATCAGAGCACGTAACGGCAGCGCGAGGGCGGGATCTGGGGCATAGGCAAACATGGCGACGTCCTTAGACGATGATGTCGAGCCGAATAACCAGGATTATTACTCCTTGCTGAACGTGAGGAGAGAGGTACGGTCTGGGTTTGAACCACCAAAGGTCCTCTTCGCCGTGCTCTTTCCCCTGTCCGTGTTTGAGTCGCAGTTTGGGAGAAAACACGTCGCGAAATGTGCAAATCTGAGCTCCGAGTTTATTCAGATCGGCTCCATCCTCCTCTCCTGGGGTGGATGATACAACAGCTGACTTTGAGCCTCAATTACAGCTTCACAAACTTTCTTCTTTATACACTTTTATGCACGTCGCTGTACTATTTTATAATATTGAATAATTTTGCATTTTGTACGTAAATGATAAAGAAGGATAATTTGCGTCACACGGTACCCACAAATGTAGTGCTGAAATGTGTACCCTGGTGAAAGTAATGTTCAAATGTTACATATGATTTGACGCCAACTGGATGTTACAGCCAGATTCCGTCTGACCTCTGGAACGAAGCAGGGCAGGGCCTGGTTTGTACAGTGATGGGAGACCTCTGGGAACACCAGGTGCCACAGTGGGGCGGCTGGGTCTGTACGTGCAGAACTGTCGTTGTGTCCTTAAGCAAGACACTTCACCCACATTGCTTAGAATGATTCTTGTGTGTGTGAATGGTTGATAGTGTACAGAGGGGCAGATGGAATGTCTTGTACACTTTTACAAATGTTATTTAACATGAAAATATTTTCTGACAAATCAATACTTAGCATGTAGTAACGTCAACAAAATAAGTTCTTGGTCGACTCAGGACCTTCCTTGATGATTACCGAAGAGAGGGCATGGTAACATCTCTAAAACAATGACCAATCTAATCCAAAGTAAATTATACCAGTTTTATGCCATACAATTTTTGACATTTTGTTCCAATTATTTAATCATTATGCTCTATACATTCGTGTTGTACAGGTTTTTGTTTTTTTAAAATAAAGAAAAAGCTTTTTGGCATTATGCAAACTGGTGAATTGAGAGTTTGATCTGGACTCAATTTCAAAGTCAATACCATAATCTTCTGCTGTTTGTGATGTGTGTATTTGCTGTTTTTTCATCTAAATCCTTAAGATAATTATTCCTCTAAGTCAAATCTGGGTTGACTAAGTTAATTAACTGACTGAATGACTATGACAGCCCTTGAATATGTAATATGTAATATTTGTAATGTAGTTCGTACTATCTGTCACTCATTCCTTGTCAATTATGAGAGGGTTTCTTTCCAATTTCACAATCAGTCTAGCACTTTGCTTTGGCGTTATGGTCATGTGTGCTCTTCACTTTGTGTTGTCATTTTCTATTGTGTTCCGTTGTGCTGTTCAGGCGACTCTGGAGGAGCTGAAGGCCTCATACCGCAGACTGTGCATGCTCTATCACCCTGACAAACACAGAGACTTAGATCTGAAGAGGCAAGCAGAGCAGCTCTTCAACCAGCTGCAGCAGGCCTTCACAGGTAACCCGCCTCAGGATTATCACAATATAGACGGTTCACAGTATTAAACAGGTTATTAATCAATCAATATACAATACAGACCAAAAGTTTGGACACACACCTTCTCATTCAAAGAGTTTTTTATTTTCAAAACTTTCAAAATTTTTCCAAAAAGGCTTCAAAACTATGAATCAACTCATGTGATATTATGTACATACTAAAAAAAAAAAATGAAACAACTGAGCATTTGTCTTATATTCCTGGTTCTTCAAAGTTTCAAAGCACCTTTTGCTCTGATTACTGCTTCGCACTGTCTTGGCATTCTCTTGATGAGCTTATGTAGTAGTGACCTGAAATGGTCTTCCAACAGTCTTGAAGGAGTTCCCAGAGATGCTTAGCACTTGTTGGCCCTCCTGCCTTCACTCTGTGGTCCAGCTCACCCCAAAACCATCTGGATTGGGTTCAGGTCCGGTGACTGTGGAGGCCAGGTCATCTGGCCCAGCACCATCACTCTCCTTATTGGTCAAACAGCCCTTACACAGCCTGGTGTGAATCTACAGTCAATAGTCATGAATAGAAAGGACACTCATTGAATGAGAAAGTGTGTCCAAACTTTTGGTCTGTACTGTATATCAATATATAAAGTGTTTTCACATAAAAAGTGCTTCACAGTGCATGAGGAAACATTCAAATCGCACAGGGAATCATAATTGTGAATAATCAGTGCATTAAAAAGAGGGAAGATGCAATCCTTCAGTTATACGCACAGCTAAACAGAACTGTTTTCAACCTGGATTGAAAATTGTCAGAGTAGAGGACTCTCTCAAATTTGTTTAGATTACATTTGAAATGCTGACTCCCCATGTTTAGTCCCGACTCTCCCAGCAGGAGGCCAGTCCCTGTGCTCCTCAGAATCCCGGTTGGTTCATACGGCACTAACATGTCACAGATGTAGTTTGGTGCGAGGCCATGGAGATGTACACAAACAGAGCTGCTTTAAAGTCTATTATCTGAGCCACACAAAGCCAGTGCAGTGTTTTACATTTTACAATCATAGATAAATACACAAACATCCACTCACAAATATAGGGTCTATAAAACCTATTGTATTGTGTGAGCTTTTCCCACGTGTTAGTTTCTACCTCCATATGTCATTTCTGCAGCTCGTAGTTAGATTAATATAAACTTTACCAAACTTTAGTCCAAACTAGGTTTTTTAGTCACATCTTGAATATGTCCTCAACCCGTCAAAAGTATTACATTTGGAGGTAAATTCAAACCATTGAAAGGTTTCAATTTGACAAAAAGCGCATTACATTTGGGAGATGGTGGCATTCAATTTTTGTTCCTTCAAAGATTCAGACGTTGGGCAGAACTCTGTTTAGCCTGGTGCTTCAGTGAGTGCGGTTTGAAATGCAATCTTTTCTCTGTCTCGGACCGTTTCTATCAATTCCAGTGCTTTCATAGAAAATGGAGAAGTGCCGATCTAATATAAAAGGTTCGTGGAAAAGCTGCATAAGTGAGGTGAAATCCACTTTACAGACGCTGAAAACGTTTTGGGATTTGATTGGTTTTGGAAATTTAGAATATTACTTGGTCCAAAAAACTATTTCTCTAAGACAGCTGTATATTATTGCCTCAAAATGAGCCTCAGGTTTGACCAAACCTGGAGCTTCTCTGTCATAACATCAGGCTGATGGAAGGGTGCTGTTCATTCCACCTCAAACTCCTTCTTCTTTCTTTCAGTCCTGAGTGACGACCACGCCAGGGCCATTTACGACATCTATGGGAAGAAAGGTCTGGAAGTGGAAGGATGGGAGGTGAGTCATGTCCTTTTTGGTCATAAACAATTAATACGGTTTTGAGAATCAGGACAATATTTTTGGATACAGAGCAGTCCTTGAATGATGGCTGGTTGCTGGTGCTGGTTCCTGAAATGTACTTTTTACATTTTTGTTTCCCTCTATTTGTAATTATCTAGACCAGGGTAGCTCAAATTGGGGCCCTCAGGAGAGACAACAGAAGCAGATGCAGGGAAGAAAACACAAAGACAAAGATCATCTATGGAAAACACAATTTAGGAGCTAAATCTAGACCATAGACTGTATATTGGGAGTGGACTGCTTTGATGTGGAAGAGAACACCAACTCTTTTCTTTACAATTCCTTACGTTGGGCTTGTCAATTTATTCTTTGTACTGTTGCCCAACTGTGTGTGTGTGTATGTTTCTACCTGCCTTGGGACAATGGATGCAATTTAACTATTGTGCTTGATCCAGCGTATTTATGCTGACGCTGTTTGCCGACACATTGATTACTATTTACTGTTCTAAATTCAAATAAATAAATAAACTCAGGATATTTGAGCGCTATTATGCAGCCAATGTTATGCTAATTTTGTTGGTAGCCGAGTTACCATGCACCAATCAGGAGCTTCGCTGGTCTGTCCTCACTCGCGCTAGCGATGGGGATGGAAGACTCCTGTTATTTGGGCTCACGTCTGGATTTACAAAGACACTATCACAATATAAACACCAGGATTGCAGGGAGTAATCAACTACATATTTTTAAAGCCCAAAATAGTGAGTGTGATAAAAACGGTCACTGAGCTAAAAGAGTTTACTTTTTAATGTATGTCAATAGAAGCCAGAGCGAGTTGGAGCAAAACTTTGTCCATGAGCACTTCCCTATTGGGCTTCTCTGAGCTGGCGGGCTGGCATTGTTCATTGATAGACGGTCTATGATTGAGATCTAATGTTCATAAACTCTTGATCACACATATTTGGTGAATGAAGTAAGTCCAAATATTACAGACCTCTCCCAGAACCCAGCAGCCAAAATAACAATCATTACCTACAACATTGCCAGTTTCTGTTCCCAATATTATTTCAGTACAAGAAAAACCTGTTTCTGTATAGATTTTTGACAGAACCGGCTCGACCAGTGCGCTGTGAGCTTTTATCCATGCCGGGGAAGATAGACCTGTTTTTATCTAATCATCTTCTTTTGTTTTCCACAAATATTTTGTTTGTAGGTTGTGGAAAGAAAAAGGACCCCCGCGGAAATCAGGGAAGAGTACGAAAGACTCCAGAGAGAGAGGGAGGAGAGGCGGCTGCAGCAGAGGACCAACCCTAAGGTCTGTCACACACCAGGCATCCGTCCTCTAGTCTCTGGCCCTCTGGTTCTCTGGTCTCTAGTCCTCTGGTCTCTAGTCCTCTGGTCTCTCGTCCTCTGGTCTCTAGTCCTCTTGTCTCTAGTCCTCTGGTCTCTAGTCCTCTGGTCTCTAGTCCTCTGGTCTCTAGTCCTCTGGTCTCTGATCCTCTGATCTCTGGTCCTCCGGTCTCTGGTGGGTGGCTTTCAATATCTGTTTCTTCAAAAGGTGTCAAGCAGAACTGTGCTAAACCTGGTGCTTAGGTGATTATGTCTCGGACTCTGACTGTTTCTGTCAATTCCAGGGTCAATTTTCCAAAATGGAAAAGTGTCAATCTAATATAAAAGGTTCATGGATGACCTGCGTACATGATGTAAAAGGAGAATTCACTTTATAGACCCTGAAAACGTTGGGTTTTGGAAATGGATGAAATGAAAAGAATATATCCCTAAGACGGCTGTATATTATTGTAACATAGTGAGCCTGGAGCTTCACTGTCTTGACATGAGACAGCTGATGTTTATTCTACCTCAAACTTTTCTTTCTTTCAGTGCAAAGTTTCCTCTGCGTGTGTGACATATTTCTCTGTGTGAATGCCTCTCGTCCAGGGCACCATCAGTGTGGGGGTGGACGCCACAGACCTGTTCGACAAATACGATGATGAAGACTTTGAGGAAACTCCAAGCGGCGGGTTCCCCCATATTGAGATCAACAAGATGCACATCTCACAGTCGATAGAGGTACAAATATTTGTTACACCCAAAATCCAACATCCACCCAAGGTCCAGCCACATTTTTACTGCCCTAGATGAGCCCTAACATTCAGTCACAATACACAGCAAACATAGAAGAGTATGCTCTGATCTTTGACGACGAGATCAGAGCCACATGCCCACAGAGCCAACAGCTGTGGCTCCTCCTTCTCCCTCCCACACACGTCACACACAGTTTGCACAGACAAATCAAAGACTAAACGGCTTTGCCCGACATGGCCCAGCCAGTCCCAGCCGCGTCCAACATCTCAGAACACAGCAAACCAATATATATCCAGTATACCAATATAGTATTTGTGAAAGACATGTGAAGCGTCTTTGAGTGTCCAAAAAAGCACTACATGAAAGGATAAAACTTCCTCTTCTTATTTTTCTTATTTTCTTCTTCTTCTTATTCTTCTTCTTATTTTTATTATTATTATTATTATATCTAACTCTCCGACACCTCCCGACGTCTGGTTGAAGTCTCTCTGTTGTCCCAAAGCGCAGGCCTCATAGACTGTGACTACATCTGCTCATTGTACCTCTTACATGGCGCTTCAAACCTGCCTTCTCTCCTCACATCTTCCTCCCCTCCCTTCTCTTCTGTCTTGACCTCAGGCTCCTCTGACAAACGCAGACACGGCCGTCCTCTCCGGGTCTCTGTCCACCCACAACGGAACCGGAGGAGGAAACATCAACATGACAGTGCGCCGAGTGACCTCAGCGCGCGGCTGGGGAGAGGTCAGAACTCACCCTCACATAACACAGATTTCTGAAGATTATGTCAAGTTTTCGCAGCGTCTCTGAATATATTTGTTGAAACTAGAGTATTACAAACTTACATCAGATTTTACTCTGTTTCTGCAGATGGAGTTTGGGGCTGGAGACGTCCTCGGGCCTCTCATAGGTTTAAAAATATTTAGAAACATCACTCAAAGATGGTGAGTCGTTGTGTCAAGTCTAAAATGTCCGTGTTACAACATGGTTCTTTATCCAAAACAGACAGTTGTTTGTAACTTGATCTTGGATTTCAGCACAAACTCAGCCCCACACAAAACGCTCTTTGTTGAATCTTGTCAAAGTCATAGACAGAGCTACAGCGTTTCTTTCTGCAATTTTCTCTCACCTGCTCCACTTTAATTAGATTGAGCAAGACGCCTGTCAAGTACAGGAACAAAATTAGCTAAAATTATTGGAAACAATTGTCACTGTGAAATCTATCAACACTATAGTCCACACCAGACTCTTGCTGCGGTGCCTTGATTCGCCGTCCTCTCGCCCATCCATTTGTAAACTTACTTTGTGTAGTAACGGTGTAGTGACGCTGCTCCCTGCCCTCGCAGTTGGCTGACGGCTCAGTCCGGGCTGCAGTTCTCTCCTCGCGGCCTCAGACCCTCGTGTTCTCTGATGACGGCGCGGCACCTGGACAGTAACACCATGGGGTACCTGCAGTGGCGCTGGGGCCCGAACAGCGCCATGACCACCAGCATCGTGCGAGACACCAAGTCCACGCACCTCACCGTGGCTCTGCAGGTGACGTTCTGTTGTCAGCTCAAGTTAAAGCTGGGGTACATCACAAACCACAGAATCATTCACAATGCAAGAGAAATCCCTCAAACATGTTCTGAACAGTTTGCTTCTATCACTAGTTTTCACAGGCATGTATCTTTGCCCTCATCTTTAGATTTGATTTTTCAGATGGACAAGTGAAAGAGAGGACGACCCTCACTCAGCCAATCAGCCCAAAGCGTCAAATAGTGACTCACAGGGCTATTTCTTACAAGTATGCAACATGTTTTCTGAAGATGAAAACAGTATGTTCTGGTTTGATGTGTTCACAGCAATTCAATTGAAATTTATTTGTGTATAGCCCTAAATCACAACAGGAGGAACACTTTACAAATCTGTCAATTCGCTAACACAGATCAAAGAATCAAACACATCAAATGCAGTAATAAAACAACACATAGATGCATTGGTCCGTAAGGGGCAGATAACCAATGTCCATGAATGTCAAGTGTCCTGGATCATCACCACTGTCCTTTGACTCTCCTACACCGGCAAGGAAAAGCTCTAAAAACCTAGTCGGAAAAAGAAAAAGTGAGAAACCTCAGAGAGGCCCACATTGAGAGAGGGATCTGCTCCCACAGACAGGCGGGCTGTAGATCCAGGACTCAGGCTACAGCACGAGGGCCGAGGCCACGCAATGCACGACTGAGGCAGCTCCAGGCAAGGAGGGGGTCGCAGCCCAAGACTCAGACGGGGAAGATAAACCACTAGTGCTTATGAAGGAGGGCGGGTTCAGGGGTTTCATCATCGACAGCGGGTGAATAGCAATGAACAGACTACAATAGAAGTCATAATGATGACAGTTCTCAAGTTACCATACTGCTCTCAGCAAAGGGTCTCCATATACAGCTTGTGTTTTTAGACTTACCTGAGTCTTACCGACCTAACCATATGATAAATGAAAAAGTTGTGACTGTTTTAAGCCTGGCCTTGAATGTAGAGACTGTTTGCTTCCTTGACGTGGATGGGAACCTGATTAAGGGTGAAGGGAGCAGGTTGCCAGAAAGAAGGTGCATGCAAACCTATTTCACATGTTCTTTTGGAATCATAATCTCTACAAAAGTTTATTACAGGATTATTGGTGTCTATAGAAGTTTATTAGAAGATTATAAATATGTTTTTAATGCTCTGTGTGTTCAGCTGGGCCTGCCTCACTCCTCTTACCTGATGTTCAGTTATCAGTACAAGTTCCAGGACGAAGACCAGACCAAAGTCAAAGGCTCGTTCAAGTACGTCCCAGCAGAGTTCACAGAATGTTTAGTGTTTATGTAACTCTGCTGCTGTTTACAACCTGAGCAGCGACGGTATCAGTTGTGTTTTTAAAGCAGTGTTCCCTCTCTGCAGGACCGGTTGGTTCGGGACGGTGGTGGAGTACGGAGCTGAGAGGAAGATCAGTCGACACAGTGTTTTATCGGCAACTGTCAGCGTCGGAGTTCCACAAGGAGTCACCCTGAAACTCAAGTACGAAACACTCACTTCATGTTGATTTTGCCATCACCAACCGACGGGAACACAAATAATATTCAAAGAATGAAAAGGTGCAAATATACAGGATATGTAAAAGTAAAATTTAGAGAACACGACATGCATCTCATTAGAAAGCATGTGATCGTTTTGCAAACTTGTCAGAAAGAGCCCTGTGATTCACTATTTGACCCTTTGGGCTGAGAGCTGATTGGCTGAGTGAGGTTGGTCCTCTCTTTTTCACCTTTCTGTCTGAAAAAGCTGATCTGAAGATGTCCGTCCTGCTCCTGCCCCTCAGTGTTTTCTGCAGCTGTGTCTGATGGTGTATGCACGGCTTTTGACAGCTGCAGCAGCGCTCAGATCTAGAACAAACGTTTTGATACCGCCGTGATCGCACTTCAGCAGTCGTTCTGTTGGTAAAAAAATTGTGAGGCGTTTTACGGGGGAATCCTGTGCTCCTCCCAGAATGCAACAGTTGTTTGCATTAAGAGTGAAAGCACATGATTTGGGTGTCTGATGATGTTCCGAGCCTGTGATTGGACAGCGGCACACCCAGGATGTTGCAGCTAGTTTCTTCAGTCTTTGAATCTATTCTATCCAGTCAGATTGCGTTGTATATGCTGTTCCTTTCATGTATTGCAAACAGACTGGAAACTAACTGGAAACTAACTGAACTAACTGCTTTTGAGTCAAGATTGAGAGCACTTGAGACATCCTGATTGAAACGTTTTTATAATCAGTAACTGTATGTAACTGTTTAACTTTTGCTGCCTCTTGTCTTTCCTGGACTTTCCTGGTTAAATAATTTAAAAAAAACGTCTCACTATTTCAGATTCAGAATCATTTTATTCGCCATTTTCAGTAAAACCACATTGATATACATTTGCAAGGTTAAAAGTAGAGATTTTAAACAAACAAAAAAAAAGTGCAGGAAACAATTGACACTGTAAAATCAATCACCCACAACTGTTTCAATACCAGTGCAAGATCCATTTCACGTTCTCAAACATGAAATGCTAAAGTACTTATTGTCAGGATCACGTTTTAAAAATCCTCGCACTATTCTTTTTGCTCACTCTGACCCATGGCTCCGGCGCGTTGATAACATGCACAGAAATAAAACAAACTAAAAAAGTGCAGGAAACGATCGATACTGATATTGATCCACTAAAACAGTTTCAATACAAAGGCGAGATCATTTAAAGTGCTATGTTTAAACTGATAACGGCTTGTTACAGCTGGGAAAACTTTTCAAAATTCAGCTTTGGTACAAAATTAATCCTAATGTGCTGGAGAGACTGTGGCACAGATATTTTCAACCACACACAGTGTTCTGTTTGTGCCCTAAGCTTAATTGTAACAGTCCTGGGTTAAGGCGTTGTGATAGGGTGATCTCTGAGATGAAATATTACTCTGGCATAACTTTGTTTGTTCAAAGTCGAGCAGAGGTCTTTTAAAACCTATTATCTCAGCAAAACAACCATAGGATTGAATATGTTCTAAAATGTTAACTAAAATAATGTATAGTTACTTATTTAACTATCTCTCTTCCCATGCTCTCTTCCTAATATCTGACCCAGTTGTGGTTGAATCCAAACCTAGACAAAAATATGTAAAAAAATTAAAAATATAAAACCTTTATACCATTTATTACTTCTGGCCCCAACCGTCTCTTATGTCTTAAACTTTGGCACCCCAACCAAATGAGTGCGACAGCCCTGGCCTACATGAACACACATAAAGACTGTGCTTTTACCTGTGCTCTCTGTCTCCCCCTGCAGGTTGTCGCGGGCCTCTCAGACCTTCCTGTTCCCAGTGCACCTCACAGACCAGCTCCTGCCCTCAGCCGTGTTCTACGCCACAGTGGGACCTCTGCTCTTCTACCTCGCCGTGCACCGACTCGTCATCGTCCCCGTCACACAGGCACAGAAGGAACAGTACGTCTGCAGAACCAGAGTTACATTTACACTGTGTTTGCGTTTGTGTGATTCTGAGAAAGATGAGATCGCATTTTTTGGTGATTTTATCAAAAAATTTGAGAACTTAAATGTTTTCACTTAATGTAACGTTGCAGTAGCCTGACTCTCGCCAGACCCTTGTAGTGCGCTGAGCTTCACACAAGGGTCTGGGTCTGCTTCATAGCGTATGGATTTCAGAAGAAAACACAAAAGAAAAGAGGAACAAAAGTATGCGGGAAGCCACCCAACCTGGCAACCCTGCTGCGTAGTGTTCTAACAGGAACAATTAAACTAGTACTTAAACCACACTACAACTACGCGAACATTTGACTTTTGAAACACACATATAACAATATAGAACCACCAACATCTCGCCTCATATTGCCTATATAGCTCTGGTGGAGCATGGCAGAACTACAAGGGTCTGGCGAGAGTCCGGCTAACGTTACGGCGGATAAACAATTAAACGGCTTTACGTAATAAATTGTTGGTAGTTAAATCGTTACTTTCCTCGGGAAAAAGTTTTGTTTGTGACACCCAACACTGCTTACTTCTCATTTCTCCTTATCGTCTGTTCTCCTCACCTTCTTTCAGAGACTTGGAGCTACAGAGGATAAACTCGGCCACTGACATTGCCAAAAAGAAGCTGGAGGCAGAGTCCGCCGTAAGTCAAACACAAACTCAACCTATTCACAATTTAATTTCCTTTTCGTTCTTGTTTTTGTCCACCTCTGAACGCTGTTTTCTTCTGGACAGGTTTTGCTGATGCAGGAGTCTGTGAAGAGGATCATCGACTCGGAGGAGTCCAAGATGGGTACACACTTTCAAATATCGGCAAAACATTTCAGGTTCACTGTCAAAACAACTTGTGATGATGTAACCCTGTTCTGCCTCAAGATCCATTCTGGTGCATAGCGATGGTGAAATAGAGCAACGTCAGACGGAAAATCTGCAACTCATTTTGTGGATGTTTTGGTTTTTATTTGTATCATTTGAATTCAATAAGTGAACGATGCAGAGAAACGGACACAAAGTCAACACAGAAATATACTCTCATACTATATAAGATGAGATCAACTTTATTGATCTCACAGAGGAGAAACTTACATGTCACATTTGGCATAGATAGAATCACTCTTTTGTGTACATATTCATTCATCATCAAACTTTTTATTACAGACTCAGGTCCGGGATAAGACAAGACAACACATCACATTAAAACACAAAACAACAAATAATCACAATAATAATCCTTACTCCTGCTGTACAGCTGTGTCTCCACAGACCTGACTGGTACCACATGGCACTGAAGTTAACTTTTGTCAGCCAACAGATAAAACTATGCATCAGACATTGAGTGGCTGCTTGAACTGTCCTTCTTCCAGCGGACACAGAGAGCCTGCTCTTTACCATCTTGTCCAGTGCAAGTTTATATGTATTTATAGTAAAAATCTTTGAAGGATACAGTAACTCTTCTCAAATACACAAGGCAGTTAAAACTTTCAATTCACTCAAGGAATTCAAATCATAGATAATCACAGTACGTTAAAAAGAGTGAAGGTACGCGGCTAAACGCAACTGTTTTTAACTTGGATTTCCACATTGTCAGAATAGAAGCCTGTCTCATATTTTCCAGCAAGACTGATCCAGATTTTACGCTACCTCCATGTTTAGTCCTGACTGGGCACCAGCAGGAGTCCGGTCTGGGGACAAATGCAAGATTAGAATCTCCAAGTCTGCTCCAGACACTGTAGTTTTGATTCTGGCATTGTTTTTCTGATGGTGAAAATCTGCATATGTGAAGTCTGAGTTCACTATTGCTCCAAGATGATGAAAAAACAATTTCAGTGCGACATTTCAAAGCATTACCTCATGAGAATGATTAACTGAGTAAGTGAAGCGTATAATGAAGGATTTTTTCTTATCAAATAATTCTAATAATTGTTTCACACATAGTTAACTTTTTCCCCTCATCACAAACAGACCTGACCCCCTTTAATATCAGCACACACGATCGTCACAGAACACTCTGTGTTGAAACTTACCGTCATTTAGAAATAAAAATATCAAATTATTCAAAAACAGGGTTATCCGTCTTGCATTGGGGGCTGTAATTCCCACTGTCTCACTTTGGGGATTTTTCATCCGCAAGATGTCCATTGTTTCCACATATGTCACTCTGTTGCATTTGTGCTTATTTTATATATTTATGTATCAATTATGATTATTATGTTGTATTTTTAGGCTGAGTATTGCAGATGGCTCAAATGCATCTTTTTATTTAAATTTTCTTTTGAATCAAATGTTTAGAATACCGTGTAGTTATTTTCTTGAGAGACTTAACTTTAAAATGATGTATAACCTGCCATGGTAGCCTTAATAAGTGAATAGTAATTGATAATCCTGTCATGTGTCTGACAGGCCTGGTCCAGATCAATAGGTCTATAACATGTAACATGTATTTGTCCCAAACTGTGTCCAGGTCTGATCATCCTGAACGCCTGGTACGGGAAGTTCGTGTCTGAGATCAGTCAGAAACAGGAGAAGAACAAAGTGATCGACGTCACGGTTCCTCTGCAGTGTTTGGTCAAAGACTCCAAACTCATCCTGACCGAGGCCTCCAAGGTGCAACTGTACTGACCTCTGTACTGACCCCTGTACTGACCTCTGTACTGACCCCTGTACTGACCCCTGTACTGACCCCTGTACTGACCTCTGTCCTGACCTCTGTACCGACCTCTGTATTGACCTCTGTACTGACCCCTGTACTGACCCCTGTACTGACCCCTGTACTGACCCCTGTACTGACCCCTGTACTGACCTCTGTCCTGACCTCTGTACCGACCTCTGTACCGACCTCTGTACCGACCTCTGTACCGACCTCTGTACCGACCTCTGTACCAACCTCTGTACCGACCTCTGTACCGACCTCTGTACTGACCTCTGTACTGACCTCTGTACTGACCTCTGTACTGACCTCTGTACCGACCTCTGTACCGACCTCTGTACTGACCTCTGTACCGACCTCTGTACCAACCTCTGTACCAACCTCTGTACTGACCTCTGTACCGACCTCTGTACCAACCTCTGTACTGACCCCTGTACTGACCCCTGTACTGACCTCTGTACTGACCCCTGTACTGACCTCTGTACCGACCTCTGTACTGACCCCTGTACTGACCTCTGTACTGACCTCTGTACTGACCTCTGTACCGACCTCTGTACCGACCTCTGTACTGACCTCTGTACTGACCTCTGTACTGACCTCTGTACTGACCTCTGTACTGACCTCTGTACCGACCTCTGTACCGACCTCTGTACTGACCTCTGTACCGACCTCTGTACCGACCTCTGTACCGACCTCTGTACTGACCCCTGTACTGACCTCTGTACTGACCCCTGTACCGACCTCTGTACCGACCTCTGTACTGACCCCTGTACTGACCTCTGTACTGACCCCTGTACTGACCTCTGTACCGACCTCTGTACTGACCTCTGTACCGACCTCTGTACTGACCTCTGTACCGACCTCTGTACTGACCCCTGTACTGACCTCTGTACTGACCCCTGTACTGACCTCTGTACCGACCTCTGTACTGACCTCTGTACCGACCCCTGTACTGACCCCTGTACTGACCCCTGTACTGACCCCTGTACTGACCCCTGTACCGACCTCTGTACCGACCTCTGTACTGACCTCTGTACTGACCCCTGTACCGACCTCTGTACCGACCTCTGTACTGACCTCTGTACTGACCTCTGTACTGACCTCTGTACTGACCCCTGTACCGACCTCTGTACCGACCTCTGTACCGACCTCTGTACCGACCTCTGTACTGAACCCTGTACTGACCTCTGTACTGACCTCTGTACTGACCTCTGTACTGACCTCTGTACCGACCTCTGTACTGACCTCTGTACTGACCCCTGTACTGACCCCTGTACCAGGCGAAGGAACACACACATACTACAGTGACACTACAGTAACACTTCATGGCGGGTGTGAATGGTCGGTGGTAATCGGAGGGGTCGATGGCACATACTGATTGCCTCGCTTCTGTCAGTGTGCCCCAGGGCAGCTGTGGCTACTACAGTAGTTTATCACCACCGTGTATGGAGTGAATGAATAATAACATGTGAAAGGTCCAAAAAAGCGTTATATAAAACCAATGCATTATTATTATTATTATTATTATTAGCAGTTGTCTAGGTAGGAGGACATTACAAAGTTGTCGATTCCTCAAAGACAAGTCAGATAATCAAACGTTTCGAACACCGGAAATCCCACAGACAAACGACCTTTAGATCCAGGACTCGGGCTGTAGAACGAGGACTGAGACTCTGTAACTATTACTCATTTATCTTCCCCTCCGACCACCAACCCTCACCAGATCCAGGTCTGTTGACGGGACTTCCTGGTTTCTTGCTAAAGATGCTTTCTGGGTCCGGCGGACGTTTTGCTGCAGCACCGATGGAGCGCCTTCTCTCTGATCGTTCTCCAGATTTGACGATATATCCATGATTCACCGCTCTCTCTCCGTAGGCGGGACTTCCTGGCTTCTACGACCCGTGCGTGGGGGAGGAGAAGAGTCTGAAGCTGCTGTATCAGTTCAGAGGAGTCATGCATCAGGTGCTGTGTGCGGACGCCGAGCCGCTCAGGATCCCTAAACAATGTGAGCGAAAGTCTCCTACATCACTGAGAATTATGTTGATCTCTGGTGCCTTTAACATTGTCCAGACCGTAGCGACCGATTTAAAGGAAACACATTCTGAACATTTACACTATTCTCTATGACTGGTGTCTTCAGTGAGGTCCCAGAGAGCATTCATTTCCCACTTTTTCCACAAGTGGGAGTAAGATCGTGTTTGAACCACAACAATGAATACATATAATGCTTAATTTTAGTTACTTTTATTTGTATATATCGCCCAACACACAAGAAATGCAATAATAACAACTACATTGGTCCTATGTGTCATAAGTGCATTTAGTTGTTCTTCTGTATCGTTAATACTTTTATTTGGACAGCTGTACATGAGTATGTTTATAGTATGGTTCTCCTAGTCCAGTTTAGAAAGGTGTCGTCTTTGTCGATTTATATAATTTTTTTCATCTAAACCAGAGAAACATAAAAAAACTGCGTTTTTACCTTGACCTGTTTCGACGCCGTCTTCCTCAGTAGCGTCTTCGCTGTTTTTCACTGGCGCAGCACATTCTGGATTAGTCCAACAATAAAATCAAGGCGAGAAAATCCAGTCTGTTTGGTGAACGTGGACCGAACCATTTCTTCTATTTACTCTGCATGTCATCACATAAACTGGATACTACTGAGACAAGGCCAGCAGACACATTTAAGAGCACAGAGAAAAGCCATGCTGATATTACACTGCGGGAATTAAACGACTTGTGCTGCTGCAGTTGACCCTGTGTGAAAATCAAACGCTCAAAGTAATATTTGCTAAAAGTGTGTTATCCTGCATATATAATCTTATTTACAAATACTAATCCATAGCATGTAGACCGGGACTAGAGTAGACAGTCCACTTGGGAAGCAACACCAAATAGAGTCCAATTTCTTGTTCTTTGTAAACGTTCTCTCTGATATTGGGCAGAGAAACTACTGATTAGTTTGAACTTTAAAAGGACTTGGGAAAAATAGATATTGCTCCTTGGATCTGACCAGTTTTTGCCACGTCTGACTCCGTTTCTTGTCTCCTCAGCTCACCGAATAGAGTCCACCACGTCTCCCTAAAGCCGAACCCACAGCCGCTGGAGAAACCTGTACTGTAAAGGTAGCAGCCATATTTTCTCTGCAGAACGACTTATTTTAAAAGCTGCTTTGAAGAGCGGTGTGTGTGCCAGAGGAGCAGCCTCAAAGTGAAGCGGAGAAAATGACTATATTTATATTTATGTGAAAACGATGCAGATATGAGGACTTCATTGTGCTCATCTTGTCCGACCGGAGATTCTCAACTGGTGCCTGAGACAACATAACTCACGTGTCACAGCTTTAGGCCGTGTTTCCCATTCTCAAATTCACTCTGAGCCGTTTTTGATGTCAGTATTTAGATTTAGACTCTTCTAGGTCAATATTAATGTTACCATCCAAATGACAAAACATATTTGACAACAACGTGACAGGTAAGTAAAAAAAAAAACTTTATTCCATTTTCCACCTTTTTTTTATTTAAAGTGAACTCTTCTTTATTGTAAATAAGGGAAAAAAGAGGCCATATTCCCCTACAGGGACAAAAAAGTGTAAGTATATTTGGTCCAGTGGGGGCGGGTCCCGGCTCAAAAGTGGCCAAAATGACGTGCGCTGACATGCTTGCAATACCACCCCGGGCCGATGGGGGTGGACCCGGAATAAGAATTAGCCAATGCTAACATATAGAACCTTCTTACCTTTCGAAAACACCTTTACAGGATGGTCCAAAAGTTGGCTCTTGGCCCAAACATGTGTGTCAATGCTGAGGGGGAGCCTAGTTTACCCGCGATGAATTTTTGAAGGCACTCGTTTAAATGAATGAAGCTCGTGCCGGCTGACGCATGCGCAGATGCGTTTTTTTCACATTTTCCAGCCCCATTTTTGGCCCATTAGTTAGAACGGCGGAGATAGGCATAGTCATTTTTAGTAAACATTACAGATATGGCCATTGCATAGCATGACATGATATCATTTTATATAATCAGATGCCCCCATTTCAACCCAGTTCAAACCTTCAAGCCGTGCAGACGCCTCCTCTCCAACAAGAGCCGGGTCCTTCCCGGGGTTTTTATGGTGTTTACATTGTGTGATCACATCAGCGGTGAGCGTGCTCTGTGATTGGTTGCTGCACCCCCGTCCGGCGGAAGAGGTTCAGGAAAATTCATCTCCTGCGTGCGTCAATTTTCTGCTCCTGCACCTCCCCCGCGACTTTGCTGCGCAGTCCGTGCGTGCATTCCGAGACGCACATGCATTTCGACGCTCGAACGCGCTTCACCATTGACTTAGCATTGAAAGCCGACGCAACGCATGATCCGGTGTGAAAGCCCCGTAACTTAACATGTCAACATGTTGCTAGATGTTCTGGTTCTTTTGGCGCCCCCTCCACTGCTTCTGGTTAGCTCCTCTTTGTTAGCATCACTAATATTATTCTCCATTTACCTGACGATATGTTGAACTTCTCCTGAATGTTGTATATATTAAATACATATTAATTTCAAAACTATATAAGGTCACACAAATATGGAAACTGTTGTTAAATATGTGAAAGGAAAGTGAAGGAAAAGGTTTTAAACATTATATATGAAATGATCAATATTAAACAATGTAAGAATAAGGATAAGTGTTCTGCTTCCATTCATTATTGAGATTTTGACAGTGCCTTCATAAGGAGCATCTGTGGATAATGCTGTTGCAAAGTTCTTCAAGACTTTCAAAACCTGATAATAAAATGTTTATCAGATTCTTCAAATGAAATTCCAAATGTTTTCTCGCTGCTACAAAGACACCAGTTGAGAATCCACAACGTTGACAAATTCTCATTCAGAAAACTGTGACTTTGATCCACTGTCCTCATAGCACAAACCTCATCTCCATCTGTTTTATTGTTACAGTCTGGACACATTTCAGTCATGTGTCGTACGTTTCATGTTTTGTTAAAAAGTCTTTAAATGTATCTTAATCATGTCTTTTTATATTTGTTTAACATATTGAGAAGTGGCTGCACAGAAAGAGCTGCTGAATGATGAGGTGTGAAACCACTGGTCACTTTATCAGGCACAACCAGACGTTTCTCATTTCAACCGTTTGTGTTACCACTGAACAGGGATCTATGATTGTGTATCATTCCTAGTACACACACCTGGATCAAAGTTCATGATTTCATTTCTACCAGTGTGTGTATATATTATTCAAATCTTTCAAATAACACAAAAACACACGCAGGTCTGGGACAGAAATCAAAATCAAATTATTAGATATTCTATCAGTATTATTGTCAATTGAGAGACAATTTGTTGGGTTGAAAACGTGTATAAAACTAACTTAAATTTAGATTGAAAAAGTAACAAAACAATAGATTTGGAAAGAAATGGTTGTAATATATGAAATAATACACTTTTAACTAGAGGCAGCTTCACATTCTCACAAGACTCTAGCCTCATAAATGTTCACGCTGACTCTTTGTCACAATAATTATTAATTATGGAGCAGTAAATCGGTCATAAAAATGTTAAGGTACATTTTTTTTTTTACCTCATATTTTTGGATATATACTGTATATTTAGTCCAACAGGAGGCCAGTCCCTTTGCCCCTCAGAGTCCGAGTTCATTTGGCACTGACATGTCACAGACGGACTTGGAGAGACTTGGAGAACTGCTTTTAAGTCTATTCTTTGGGCGACAGGGAGCCAGAGACCTGAGAACTGGACTTATGTGATCATACTTCCTGCTTCCAGTCAGGACTCGAGCTGCAGCTTTGGTTCCTGAAGTGATTTAGATGTTTAGTGAGAAGAGGGATTGAATTTGGCTGTTAAAACTAAAGCCTGTGTCCATGATCTCAAATGGTATTTCTTGTTTCTTGTTTAGATGAAACATTAGCCATAAAAGTATTTTCACTTTGAGTAAAACTGTCTTTTCAACGATGAAAGTGTACATACCACTTTGGTACGGAATTTCACAATGAGATTTCACTTTACATCTTGAATAAAAAATCAAGATTGTCCTGAAATATTAGGAACATGTATTTTAACTGAATTTCTTATTATCTAGCTACTCCACATCCATGTTTTTGTTCCTTTTTTTCCTCAGAAGTACCACTGCTGGACTTGGTTGAGCTTAAGCCTCACAGTTTTCCACCTGCTCACCAGTGGGTGGAGCTGTCTCACTTACTAAATGTCAGTCTCCTTGGTTCTCTCTCAGGATTGTTGTCAGGATTGTACCTTCCTATCCCATATTTCCCCCAAAATATTAGGTTTTTCTTGTCATTCAAATGTAATTGGGCTCTGAGAGGGTTAAAATGCCTGGATTTTAACATTACAAGAGTCTTTGTACCTGATGAAATTCCCAGTGAGTGCAGCTTCCTCTAAAACTAAATACTGGCACTTTAGTTTTATGACATTGACTGAACTTTAACTATTTTAGATTTGTCCAAATCGTTAAGGGAAAAAACAGAATGCACTTTTTTTTGTCTTTTTTTGTTATGAGCCAAAACATTACAACCACACAAATGTGATCAGGAGACAGGGCGTTGGTCCCAACTAAACTTAAGTCTCTGCTGTTTGAGGTTACAGTGGTCGTAATGTTTTGGCTGCTCAGAGCAGTCTTCACCCCGTGTCCATTATGAACTGTAAATGTCATTCTTGTCGATCGTTGTGATCTGTAAAAGCTGCAATAACTCCAGTGTTTCGAAATGTTGGAGTCATAACCCCATAGTTTAGGCTCAGACTGAAATAATAAAAATGGCATTATTGTAATAAACTGGAGTGTTTCTTTGCTGTCACCATGGTGAAATATCCAATCATTCTAGCTGGTCT